TTGTGCAGTAATTTTTTTGTTTTCTTTTCGGGTTTATTCGGGAGTCTTAATAATTAAAGATAAAAGAATAGGAAAGAATAAAAAATAGACTTTTTTGTTATCAAGTAAGCTTTGTATGATATGGGAAAGTACTGTTAATAAGGAGAGACAGAAATCATTTTATTTTGCATTTCTTTAGGTTAACAGTGCATCAAAAAGCGAAAATGACGCTTGATTTCACTGCACTGGCAGCAGGAAAGATGCATTACAAATTATATTTCATTTGTGATTCATACTTGGGAGCTGACCAAGAATTCGATCTCAAATTTCGTGTGGAAGGTATTTTAGTAATTAAATTTCTTTTTAGATTTTGTCTTTCCAGATTCCAAATTTTCATCTTAGTAATTTATGCAATTCCAGAGTTTATCTTTTCAAAATTTACTATTTTGTGTTTACGACAAACTTGTAGTTAAATTTTTCATCGAAAATGTGTGTTTATCATTTCCGAAGCTTAAAGAGCTTTTGATATAAATGTTTTATCCCGTTACCACAATTTTAAACCATATGTTTTTAAAATCAGCCTGATAATTTGTTTTTTTAGAAGCTGGACGTAGTCGGAAGCGAGCTCGCGACGAAGAGTAATTCAACTTATCTTTTTCCTATCATTATATTTTTTATTGTTATTGCTCTTTCTACTTGTTGAACATTTTTATTTCACGAATTTACGGTCTAGTTAATGACGAATTTTTTAGTGAGTTGGAATATTCTAAAAAATAGTTTTACCAAAATATTGGTATATTTTTACGGGAATATCAGGTGTGAAAAATGATTTTGTCAAAAAAGAAAGACATAAAATACATTTTATTATTTAATCATTTTTTTAAAATCTTTTTTAAAAATTTTTTTTAAATATCCAGAATACTTTGCAAATTCTAATTTGAAGAAATATAAAAGTTATTTGTGGAAAGTCAAATTATTTTGTTTTAAAATTTTTTGTTCATATATGTTCATACATGTCGTTTTTGTTATGTGAAGTTATATTTTGCATTTCAATGGACTGAGATAAAACTTTATAACATTCGGATCGGTGATAAATCCTATGAACAATGTTCAATTACTCATAACTGTAAATGATATGCTTTTTGGTTCTGGTAATGGTAATGGTTGCGAGTCACTTGAGCCACTTACTCGCTGAGAAGGCATATTATATCAATTCTGAAAAAAAATTGCGCAACAATTTACTTTCTGTCTGCAAATCGATATCCTAAGATCTTACTTATGTTGCTTGGATGCTTTAACCATGGAAATGGATGATGATACGTTCTTAACTATTTTTTTAAAAATAAAGCATGAAAGTGTAATGATGTAAATAACTTGAAAAGTACGAGAATATTTGAAAAAGACGTGAGAAGTATGAAATATTTGCATATAAAAAGATTTTTAATTTTTGGCCATGTGCGCAATAATTTCTTGAATACCAAGAGAAAAATTAAGAAAGTTTGAAAAGATAGTATTCAAGGTCAGATTCATTCCAACATCTTTTTACTTTTGGACTGGACTTTAATGAATCTCGATATTGAGCTAGAATCAATATAGAAATCAGGTTTCAATTTGTTTTCATATTTCGCTCATTTTGTTTCTTTAAAAAAGACAATTACTATTGCATTTAGAATCCCGCGATTGCATATACTACAATCCCAACTATAATCTATTATTATTTTTCGAAAAATCTTGATGGTGTCTATCCAGTATTGCAATATTATACTGTCTCTAACAAAATGATATTCTGGAAGGAATATGACAAAAAAGGACTTAAATTGCGCAATCAAAATAGAATTTCTACAAATGATTCAGGAAATTTTTTGATTGTAAAAATGTGAACAAATAAGTAATAGTTCTTGAAGTCTTAAAGTTTACGAAAAAATAAGGGTAAAACTGCAAGATAAAATCAATAACATTATTTTATTGATACAAATTACTGATTAACTAGTAATTCACTTATATTTATACTCCTTGAAATATAAATTTATATTTTTACTGGCCGGTATCTAAAATTGTGGAAAGAAATTCTGAATTTTTTCAACTTTGTCGCTCGCATTGTGTTTTTCCAAGACTTTTCCGGAATATTTTTGGACTCTATAAGTCATTAGCTTTATCATTTTTCAAGATTTCAAGATCCTGCAATTACCCATTCAAGTTTTAAATATTTTGCAATTTTACAAAATTTTATCAGTATCACATTCAGCAAATTTATGACATTTTCTGGAATTAGGCAGAGTGAATAAGAAAACAATTGAGGAAATTGATTAATTATTATTGGAACAATGAAATACGCTTAGAGAAAATATTAATTTTCCGGTATCTTTAGGAGTCTTATAATTTAAGCTTTAGATATATTCATATATTAATTCTCTTGAAATTTCCAAATAAATGACTGTTGAAGGAAAATTTATTATTCATTCTCATCTAACATAGATTACTGTTGCGCAATAAAGGATCCGGGAAATAGCGCCTGATTGGATCGTCACTGTCCTTTACTCCCTTCCTTATAATTCAGTAATCCATTTATCTGATCAAATTGCCACCGTTTTTCCATCCCTCACTTCATTTAATTTGTACTGTGAACGGAATGACACATTGGTACAACTCGGTACATCTGCTACTTCCATTTATGGAAATTACTGGGTGTCACATTTTCTTCATTTCCTTCCTGTGCTTTTCTACATATCAACAAAAGAAAAAATTGTAGCAAAATTGTCGAATTGAAAATGGATATTGTATAAAAATAGTATCAATTGGATATGAATCATTAAATTTTAATTCATCCCTTTTAATATATAAAACACAAAGGAAAGTTTATTGAATGAATTTTAATATAACAGCAAAATAGCTAGCGAAATCTAAAATTTTTCTTCAATTTCGTTTCAAAATTCTCAAAAGTTTGATAATGTTCGTATTTGATACAAATAAATAGTACCAATCAGTATTGATGTATTGAGAACACAGCTGTATTTCATATTTTTCAAATGAGATTTACAGCGGAAGCACGAATGATTTTAATTCGTTCCATCAACCAGTCTTATTATTTTATTTTGCTCCTAAAGTCTGCTACTCCTACTTTTCTCTCTAATATTTTCATACTATTCAACTCGATTTCTCCATCATTCAAATCTATTTCAAACAAAAATATGTGCACTTTCTACAAGATGACAGAAGCAGATATATATTCGAGAATCAATCAATTTACCTATTTTGAAACAATAAGTAAACTATAAAAATTTGTACTTACAATCAGATATATGTAATATTTATTGTAAAATCGGTAAGGAGATAGAAAGAATTTTGTTGATATGCATAAATGCATTAAAAGATAAAACAGCTTTCTAGGTTTTTTTTCATATGGATACTGTAAATTAGTGAACGATGGATGTTAATGTCGAACCATTTACCACGCCTTCTACGCCAATCAGAGCATCAACATTAAAGGGGACAATCACTCGCAATATCTTCATGCATGGATAAGAAGTCACGGACTACGAAGTATCTGAATCAGAAATCTTCTACTCCCACGTATACACGTCAACATCAGGTTATTTCTTTATATCTTTACAAATTCATTTACTTATTACTTTAGTTGTTTCTTGCTCAAGTTTACAATGAACTGTTCATAAATCAGTATATCTTACTGTATGAGTATTTTTTTTCCATTTGCAATTAGTGATAAAATATGTCGAATTATAATGAGTCTATTAATTTGTTAATTATTCATTTCTATTCAGTGAATTATCTGTCCATTACTTTTTTCTTATTCACCTATTTCTATATTCATTACAATATTTGCGCAATAAATTATAAGCGTATGTTTTTATCAACGATTTCAATTAGTATTACTGTTGCATGATAATATATAGAGTGTTACAACTGATAAACCTATGGTTCGCTTTTTTTAATGCTTGTTTGACCTAAAGTTTGCTGTTTAAGTTTGCTGTATGAGTTAACCTTAGTGTCATTAACTTATTGATAGTTTAAAGTTTAAATAGTCCAAATATTTTGAATTTAGCAAAATTCAAAGATCAGTAAAGAACATCTTTTTAAAATAATATTTAAAATTTTTTCAACTTTTAAAAAATTTGAAATTTTTTAAAAATTTACAAAACATAAAAATTTTGCAAAATAATAAAAAATATTCAGCCAATGCAAACAAGAGAGAGCAAAACCACTGGACAAGGTGTGATGAAACGAACGAAACGAAAATATCGTTGTCGGGTTCGAAGTCCAGAAACTATCCGACGAACGAAACAAATTCGCCGAAGTAAAGCGAATGCTCGCGAACGTCGTCGGATGCATAATTTAAACGAAGCACTGGAAAAGTTACGACGTACATTACCACAACTTCCAGATGAACCAAAGCTGACTAAAATAGGTAAATATATAGTTTTTAAAATCTTTTTTGTTCAAATAATTCTTGGAGCCTTCACCTTAGAAGGGAATATTTTTTGTAATTTCAAAATACTTATAAATTCTAATTAATGAATACGGCTTTATTTTCTTCAGAAACTCTTCGAATGGCCAACAATTATATTTATGCCCTAAGGCAAATCCTTAGTAGTGGTCAAGAAGAGGAAGATAAAGCAGTGGCTACAACTCACCATGGGCGGTCACTCTATGTTTCAGTGGACAACAAGCTAAGTGCAGTGGCACGTTGAGTTTGTGTTTCAGAAATCTTTTCACGACTTCAAAATAGGAATATCAATTTAAATTAAATACAAAGTGAATACAGTATCACTTTCCAAATATCACAAATCTGCGGGAAATTACAACAATATCTATTTCGTTTTTGAAATATGAAAAAAGTGATTTACTAGCTTGGCTTTCTTATCCTCAAACTAAATTACATGATAGAAGTTCTGTATAATCAAAAATTGTTGCCAATATGATAAGAGCTATTTGTAATTCGATAGTGAGTTAATTATCCGTAGCATATTTTGTCGGTAAACTTATATATGTCCACCTGCTATTATTACAATTCTCTTTTGAAATACGCTTTGTTTACCTCTCAGATAATTACAAATGTCGCATGATCGGTAACCATCTTCGTCACTCCAATAACAAAGTTCGACAAACAGCAGGATGTCATCCATTATTGACACTTTCTTCTAATTTCTCTTTCTTTTGCTTTCGGCAAATGCAAAGTTATTTCCTACTTTTTGAATTTTTTTTACAGTCTTAATTGAATTGTTCAAAATTGTTTATATACAATTTCATTATTTGGTTCTTCGGAAAGCAATGAAATAAACTTAACCTAGTCTTGTTAAATTTTTTCAGATTATTTTCTGCTTATAAGTCTGAAAATAACAATTATAAGCATTTTATTAGTGTGACAATTAGAACGAACAATAAGGTATGCATATGAAAAAATAGAGTTGTTTCCGATGATATGACAATCTAACTTTAATTTTCAGTTGATATTTTGTAAGAATGAGAACATCTGAGGTCACATTAGTAACGGGTAATTAAGTACTGCGCTAAAGTGACTCACATACTACTTTACTTACAGCTCATCATCTTAAGGGCATTATGATATATGATACCAGCTGCATATCGACTAGCAATTCTGAAATCATTGAGATGGAATAAATTTGTTTGTTCTAACTCTCATCTGTTGTTTCAAAACATCCGGAAATGATCAAATTTTGATTGATGGCATTTTATTAGTTAGAACAAATGAATAGAGTAAAGCTATTTGCTTTTATTCTTCTCTTAATAAAAAAAATTAGAAGTTTATTCTACCATCCGAACTCGGGTTAAAAGGTTAAAGTAAGGATAAGAATATTCCCACTTATCTTTACTTTAGAACTACTGTAATACCATAGTGATTTTTGGCATGATTTGCAATGAATAGTGGAATTCAAAAAAAAAATCGGAATATGTAAATTATTCGGCAACACGAACAGAAACATCTGACGGTAAGATATTTCAAAATTACAAGAATAGTGGTAACATTACATAAATTGAAGAGCTTTCATCCTATCAACGTTTTCCTCTTCTCCAGCCCGCATCATGAAAATTTCAACGAGGATAATGATGGCTTATGATGCAATGATGCAATAGTATTCAGCAGGGGGTTAGAGGTCAATCGGCACCTAACAGTGTTAAAGCTCTAACCCTACACAACGCTTAAATAATTATCCAATTTCAAAAAGTTACATATAAAGCATAAATTTCAAAGAATTCTTCATTAATTTGAGCTGAGTTTGAATATTTTCTAAATTTTCGTAAAAAATTTGAAATAGTTCAAATTTTCAATTCAGAGATTAAAAAATGTTGATAGTATATTAAATAATTGAAATTATTTTGAGCAAATTTGGCAAAAAATGAGATTTCAGAATTATGTTTGAAATTGTAGTAAAAGGTAAAGTGAATTCATCTTTTTTCAAAATCTGATTTGCGGTAGCATAAATTTTTAGTTTCTAATAAGGTCAGGCAAAAAAATTATGGTTTTTATTATGCTTCAAATATTTGATTTATTGATTGGATATTGAATGTGACGGATAAACAGAGATCAAGAATAAAAAAAAAACTATTTGGAAAATTACGAATAATTTAATGCTTAATTTCTGCGTAATTTGAGAAGCTTTAATCAGAATTTTAGATTTGCAACAATCAATTATTTTTGAAAACTGATAAAGTCAATTATAAAATGTTTTTTAATTGATCCTATTGCACTTACTGCTATTGAAGTTCAATATTATTTCTGTTCAAGACAAATTAAGCTTTGTTGCAGGATCATATCTACACTTGGCTAATGTCTTCCAGCTTTTTCAAATTACAAAACATCATTGCTTATGAAATTTGACTCTTAATAAATGATTATCAATAATTTAGAACAAAACAAAAATGATGAATTTCGTATCTTTTTTCAAAATTTCTCTTGCTGTTCATGGATGGACATTTGTAACAACTTTGTTAGAGAAAACTTTCTTCATGAAGGCTAAGCTGGTGGCAGATCAAACATTGTCTATCATTACTTGATAAATCAATAATCTTGGATTTACATAAGAGTTAATGCCGGATTTATAATGCTATCAAGTGTGAAAAAGACATTTCTTCCAATACTGGAAAGTAATATTAAATCAATTAATAAGGTTTAATTACTACATACTCTTGAGTGATGACATGTGAATGGAACTAATATCAAAGAATTTGAAGCCAATGCAAACAAAATTCCGGTTTCCTGAATGCAATCTCTATGCACTTTTCTTTGTTCACTGGCAAAATATAATCTGCTTTCAGAAGCTTTCTAAAACTGAATAATAATCGTTATTATTGAAGTTTGGAACAACTAAAAGGAATGCATGAATAATCGGATGAATGGAAAAAGAATAAATATCCCAGAAAAAAGAATCCAGTAGCAATTGCAATTGTTTATTGTGCATTAAACAAATAAATTTATCACATTATCAAGTTATTAACAGCATCGAAGAAGGGACAATAGCACCAGGTAATCACATTTAAGCAAGTTTTTTACTTTTTCTTATTTCTGCCATTAAATTCTTCAGATGAACAATTTTTCACCTAATTACATCTGGTACCATTGTTCCGAGCTCCAATAAAACTAAAAAATAGCATGTATTTAAATTTCACGCACCCAACAGTTCAGATTATGCATAGTGAATAAAATTTAATTTAATTCAATACTTCAACAATAATCTACTTCATATCTCAAATTTAATTTACAAAAGAATTTTTTCTGGATTGAAATGTTAAATTTAACGTGAAGAAATAGTAATAAAAGCAAGTGCTGGTAAAAACGAAAAAGTGCTGTAAGATGATAAGCTGGAAGCACATTTATTGACTATTTTTTATTTCATTTGTTTGATAATGAATGATAGATGATTGGGATGTAATTATTAGTTAGTCAGTAAAATTTCTGCTTACCTATAATTTCCAAAATAACTTCAAATATTATAAAAATTATTTGTATATCACGCAATTTTCATTTATAACAATTTTAACTTCAATGTACGGAATGTTGTTACTATTTTTATGTGATAACTTTATTCCCCAGATGCAAAATTTTGTATAAACCTAAGCTGAAAGCCATTGAAAGGTAGATAAAAAGATGCTGCTATGCATTTCTCTTTTTTTATTGCTATATTAAAGCTTCGAAAGTAAAAAAGTAAAGAAAATGAAATGTCTAGAAATGACTTCAAGGAACCAAATACGTAACTAATTTATTAAATTCCTGTTGAATAATCTCATCTGAATAAGTTAAAAATGGATTGAATGAAGTTTGATTACCAAATAGTTGCTTGTTTCTGATATTTTTTGAAAAATTTCATTTCCCATAATAATATTTAATGTCAGAGATTAACAGATCGGAAATGAATATTTTTTCAGGCAATCTTTTTTATATAACAGCAACCCAAAATGATAATAACAATATGAATAGTTCTGAAAATCGACACAGTTAAGGTAACATTTGAGCCTTTAAGTGCGAAATTTAATTGCGGTTAATAATTCATGAATTTGCACTCACTAATTAGCTTATTGATTATTTTTTAACCAATCATAAAGATATTCAAAATTTTTAATTCTTTATAAAATTTCTCAACCTTCAAGATGCAAACAAATGCATGCACACATTCATTTCGTGTAGGTCTTCAAGCATCATGTGTGTTATTTACGTGTTATTTACGTATTCCGTAAGCCAAAATTTTCAAGACAAATTAAAAAACTGAAACATAAATGCATACATTATATTAAGATGATGTTTGCAGATACACCAATAACTGCATTTTGCAAGTCAGCTTTGCATAATGCATGCGTTAGCTAATTCTCACAATTATATTTTATTTCTTTTAAATTTTTCATTTTCGGACAGCTACAAATCGGATTTGCTGCTCTTTTTGCTTTTTGTATGTTCGTTTGTAGTTTCATCTCTTTCCGGTTTTTCATCTTTATCATCAACCGATTTGTTTGGTTTCAATTTTGCACCTTTCTTCATTTCTGGAACCTAAAATGTCAATTAAAAGTACAATGTAAATACTTTAGTGATAAAGAAATTTACGAGTGAGAAGGAAAGTTTCTGAATAGGAAGTCAGAATTTTGAGATTTGCCTGATCATAGAGATATGGATATCAAAATGTACTAAAATTAAAGTTTTCATTAGAATTAAATCATAAGAATTGATAAATATAATTCTAAGTTTGAATAGGTATTGAACCTTAACTGTTGTTGCAGCCAAAATTTGTTCAAACAATTCAAACCGACTTGGCATTTCTTTAAATACAACGAAGTGTAAAATGAAATGTATTGGAAATGCCGTCAAAAGATAAGTACCTCTGCACTTTAATTCTTCAATAAACCAGATTTAAAAAAAAGTTTATCTGCATTAGCTTTTGGAACTATTAATCTAGCAGTCATGTTTGACCAGTGAAACAAAAGTTAGTAATTTTATCCCCTGAGCATTCTCTTAATTAATCATTTATAATTTAATAGAGGAATTATTAAGTCAATTTAATTCAATTCTTTTATATCAATTAACGGTGAAACTGACATCAATGTTATAATGCCGCATAACATCCTTCATTGAATTGAGAATATCCGCCGGTGAGGAATAATAATATGCGTAGTTTTTATATTCTGCTTTCTTATTCTTAAATTGTGATAATAAATCACCATTTTTATCTGAAATGATGAAAGCAGTTGTAATTTATGAATTTCAAATTGAAGAAAAGAGAAATAAACTGAGCGGATGGTTATCAGTTAACAAGCCCCAGCCCAAATCTTATTAAAGTGATAATAATTATTATTATGATAAAAGTGAAAATGAATAAAAGAAAGTAAGTTGTTTGATTTTATCACCAGACTAACCCGTATTCCTCCTTTTACCTAGATCAATCTCGATTATGATTGAACTGTTGATGTATGAAAATTTTTTTCATCGTAAACAAAATTGCCGGTAACTCTCAAACCTCAAATTTTACTACTCAAGAGGAAATATTTTGTCGTCTTCTATTATTAAGCAATATATTTGATTGATATTATATCGAATAAATGGTCGAATTTTTAATGTTTTAACTTCTTTACAATAATTTCAATTCACTATATCTTTTTTAGCTTTTGCATTTTCAATTTCTTAATGCTTTTGCTTGATTTTTAACTGTTAAAAAAATTACATTATGCTAAAATTATTTTATGAGAACTTTTCGTTCAAGAAATAAATTTTTCTTTCTTTTTAACTTTTGAAATTTATTATCACCAATTAAATTTGCTATCAAAAAATTTTACCAGTAAATGAAACTAATTTTTAAAAATTTGGAAAGAAAACTCGCTGAATTCATACACATTGGCTGATCTAATTATTTTACAATGTATAAACACAAAACTCCTCACTGTAGAGTAATTCCACTTAAGAAATTTCAATCTTTTAAATGAAAATTTTCCTATGTTTCATAGCTAGTAGAGAATTTGTCGGCATTTTACAAAATGTGCTAACTTTTGTTCAAGTAAATGGATTTTCAAGAAGAGTATCATTGTTCACCTAAAAAAAGCACACGTGGAATATATTTTCCATCCGGTCTATATTCTTCTTCATACGGTTCTTCATCATCTTCTGTATTCACCATTATAAAATATTTGGAGAGCGTTCTAAAAGCCTTCCGAGCATTTGATTGTTGAAATGTTTTCTTCAGTGCTAAAATAAAACCAGTCAGCAATGCACTTTGGTAAGCGCAGTTGTCCCATCCAATTTATTGATATAACTTTAAAAGCAAATGAAATCGTACATGCTATCCCAAAAGTGAAAGAGTTATCGGACTGCAAATTCCACACCGAAATCTCTTCTCACCTTTCCGATAATATCCGTGAAAAAATAGAAAGTATACATAATTCATGTGATATCTTCGTATTTTCTCTAATCGAATAAACTGGAAAGAATGAAGAAGAGAAGAACTAACCTTTGCATGCATGACACCACGATTTGTGTATTAATAGAAATATCGGTTTGTTCACTTCCATCGCCGTTTCCACCGCATCTTCCCATTTCACCCAATCTATATCTTCACCAAAACCTTCAAAATATCAAGTGGAAAATAATAAGTCAAAGCAAGCAAGAACATATAGATCTGCAGTTGTAATATTCATTTAATTATCAACAAAATGTTATTAAAGTTAAAAGATTGCAAACTTTTAATGATCAGCAAGCTAACTGCAAATGCTTCAACATGGCTCCTTTGCTATCTCGAGTAGAGCTAATAATTGAAATATTTTTCGAATTATTTGCCGATTAAACGAATTTTTGTCAATTCAATTATGAAAATTTAGAATTTAAAATTTCAATCGACATAAATTATTGACTAACCGTGTGAAAGTGGATTTTGATAGATTTGTTTAGTATCGAATGTAGCATCGGTATTTGATGAAAACTGTACAAGAAGGATGGTGTTGAAAACGATAGAAATGACAGAAGCGAACATTCTGCGAACTGCAAAAAGATGAAAGAGTAGTGCCTGTTATGAAACGATAGTCGAAATACGGGAAAATGTCCCCACTATAGACGACCCATTTCTACAATCGGTTTTTCCTCCTTCTTCTGCTCCCCCCTCCTTTGATCAAGCATTCTTTCAATGTCGTGACACACAATGTTTACAACTCCTTCCTCCATAAAGGAACTCGTTTTCTCCCGGTAAGACGGAAGGATGTACAATAACGGTAAGCATTGGTGAGAGCTGAAAAGTTCAAATTATCCTTAGTTTAAATTTAAATTCATCATCAATGGCAGCCTTCAACTTATGCTGAAAATACTGAAAATTTGAAAACAAAGTATTAGTTTTTTAAATTTAGATTAACAACATTAATTATAATTAATGTTGTCGCAGTACATATTGTATATATTATTTTGTATATAACAATATATATTTTGAAGAATTATTGTGCCAATTGGCATAATATATTCTTCAAAATGTAGCTGACATGAGATTATGAAGAATTGACCTTTTATTATTGGTCAGAACGATCAGTGGGAAGCATTTGAAGCAGAGAGATGGATGAATTACTTAACCATGTTTTACAAGCAACTTAAAGGATATGTAGATAGGAATCATGAGGATTGTTCTACTTCATGACTATATCCAATCTAAAGTTAGGCTTGTCCAAAGAAAGGTGCAAACTTTCTAGTCACTATGCTTACTCTTAAATTTGAGAATAATGTTGGATATAACTTAATTATAAGGCACGCTTAATGTCAAAGCAGATTCGGTTTTTTTTGATTTCCATCAAAAGTCATTTTCATTCTAATCTGGCATACCGTCATTTCGCTATATTGTAGTACCGGACGTTCTTACCAGTCAACATGCTGACCTCTTAAATTTTGTTTTCTGTAGCATGCAAATTTAAATTTGCTGCTTAAAAACAATTCCAATAATATTATACAATTTTTCTTAAGAAAAATTTCAACAACCATCCATTAAACTGAAGAACGAAAAAAAATGGAAATAGCAAATCTTCTTAGTCTAAATATTTTTGCATGTTAGTCTCAGAACAGAAATAAATTGAACTGAATAAGTTGAAAATCCTGCTTTTTTTAAAGCGTGTCTAAAATTTGCATAGAATGCAATCACAAAGTTTTACACTAATGTAAAGGTAAAAGATAAGCTTCAGATGCATCTGTCGATCAGAATAAAAATTTCAATTTTGTGTGACTTTGAAATTATATGGATATGCACCCCAAATGCAATTATTTATCATATGGACAAAGAGGGAATTATTATGCGATCACATTTAATCATTCTGATTTATTTTACAGGTGATATAAACATTATCTGAAAATGTTGCAAATGCCTTTTGTAATAATTAATTCATTATAGCTCTTGTTTCCTGGATTGAGGAAGTAAGCCAATTCATACCTTCTATCAGGAATTCATTCTGAAAAATCTCAAAACGAAATTATCACTTGTTTTATACCATTCGCTATCAATCTGCTGATGTTTTATCACTAACAGATTGGTATTTGAATTAAATAACTTTATGAAGCAAATAGCAATTGGATATTCTGCCTACTTGGTGATTGAATGGTCTTTTTAATTTATTTGTCAAACATTTGATTGCATGAAAGCTACCATCATATCATTTAATTTCTGCTAAGTTCAATTCATTTTACAATCATCAGCAACCTCTTTCGGACTTTTTTGAGTAATCCATGCAGAATTGCTCAAAATTAAACTTAATATCCTGCCAATTGCACAATGTTTTGAAGAGGTGAAAAGTGTGTTTTTTCATATAATCGGCTTTTTAAATTTTAAAAGAGTATGAAAACTCTTAAAAACAGATTATTTAACTAATAGTAAATTACGATAGTAAAACAATCATTCTAATGATGGCAGGAACTTAATGGTTTTTTCAATACCTTTTACTTTCAAAAGTTATATCATAGGAAGTTATATTGCTCTGATCATTTCTTCCACTGATCTCGGCTATCTTCATATTAAATAGACGATCAAAATTAGAGAAAGAAAGTAATCGGAAAAGTGGTGTTAAATGAAGTGATAAAATTAATTTCTGAGTCAGGATAAAAATAATATAGCGCAGTGTTAATTATTTAAATTTATAATGCTTTTCTATAAAATACAAGAACCGCTCCATTGTGAACAAAGTTCGAAGCATTGAAATATAATTAAATTGAAATATAATTTAAAAACTAGGAATTTATTTTGCACCTTCTCATATCTGCTACATTCTATGAATTTTTACTTTTCAAAAATTTCATAAATGCTAAATCAAACAGTATATTGAAATCCATCACTTTTTTCGGTCTAATTGGTGCAATTATCAAATTCATTATTTCCATGTAATTTAACAGAGTTTATATTAAAAAATTCTTTTAGATTAATTGAAACTAATTGAAACTGCTCAAATTGTTACCACATCAATTTTCTGCTTCTTTGCGGTATCGATTTCACCAGAATGCAGAGCACTTGAAAATTTCTGAAAACAATTTTTTAAGGCATTGCTTTTTTTCGGAGTATTGACATAGCTGTTATTATTTAGTTGCCAGGGTTCTAAAAGTTCAGTACGACGGACATTCGACATTAAACTTTTCTTTCGTCATGCTTGCGCCTCTGATTCCGTGATTCCCCAAGGCATTCAGCGAATTTCGCTTGATTTAAAGTGTGCACTAATATAAAATGGTTAAAATAGACGGCTGATATTGCAATAATTAAATTTCCTCGCGCTTCAAAAAAAAAAATGAAATAAAATTGGAACGAATATCACAAAGAGGAATCTTTTTTCAATGCAATTTAAAACTTAGCATCAGAAATTGTAAATTGCATAAGATATGTTGTGAGTAAAAAATTTGATAAACTAAAATTTGAGATGATTACAATTTGATAATGGCAAATAGGCAGCAGAGACGAAAAATCTCGATGTAATAACATATTTCACATCGGGATTTTTAAACTTCATTATGCAATTTAAAAATTTGTTATTCGGAAAGCATATTTTATATTTTAATATTGCAGTCTGTCGACTTCAAAAAAATTATTTTCCGACCACACATATTTTTGTCGACCTTGGTGCAAAAAAATAATTTTCATTTATAATATTGCTGTCGCATGAACAATAAGAAGTTTTAAAGCATTTAAAA